ATATATATATATAAATATATATATATATATTATTAAATATATATATATATATATATATAGTATATATATATTATATATTACAGAAGTTCTTCTTCTATCATATATATATTTTATATATATACATGCATCTATGGTTTCATGTTTATAATATGAAATCACATATTCATATTATATTGTGATTTCGTAACTACTTAATATGAAACAAATATATTTTCATTATACATACTCTATGTTCATCTCTAATGTATTTTGTAAAATATCATATCTTAGTTTTTGACTTCAACAATAATCATATACAATACTTTAAAGTCTACTATAATCATTTTGCAAGTTTATAAACATGTTATCAAAATGTTCAAAAGTTCACATGTTACATTTTCGTGTTTTGACTATTTTCCAATAATATGATTCTTCACAAAATCAAATGCAATTTGCGCAAAAATTCTTTTTTAACAGTTTTTCATTTTATATACATTTCCCTAAAGTTTCATATTTGGACTTCATTGTTATTTTACATATTTTTAAAAGTCTCTATAAATCTGTTTATATCAGTTTCGCTGTCGGCAGCCCGTCGACGCATCGTCGACGCCTCATTTCTATCTTCTATCAGCCATAGCGAGCAAGGTTGCGTCGACCGATGCGGTCGCCGAAAGGCTATTTTTCTGTCGTCCACCGTACGTCGACCGATGAAGTCTCTGTTTGTTTTTCTCGTTTTCGATCTGGATCGCGGTCGACCGGAAAATTTCGTCGGTCGACCGAAAATTTCGTCGGTCGACCGCCGCTCAGTCAGGTCTGTTTCCAACGGCTATTTTTGTTACCGTTGCTGGGGCTGTTTCTGTCTTTTGGTTTGGGGTTTTTGGCTGAGGTTCTTGGAGGCTATAAATACCCCATTGATCTCAGTTCTCTTTAACCCAAGAGAATGTTTTAACAAGTTTTAAAAACGAGTTTAAGTTTGTTTAGTTTGTTTTTGGGGTTTGCTATTACAAAGAGGAGTTTGCATCATCTGTTGAGGAATTCATCTTCAATATCCTTTCATCCTGTCTTTGTGTTTATAGAGAAGTTTCCTTAACTCTATTTCCTAGCATTTCTACTATTGTATTTCATATCAATCTTATTGCTAGTTACTCATTGTTACACACACCCACCTTGAGCTTATTGTATTTGCATACATAGTATATTAGGGTTGTGAGAGATTGTAACATTGAGTTGTGCTTAATTGTGTTCTCATCTATTGTAGAGAACAAATTCATATTTGTTACATTGTGAGTGTTGTAGGTTTTCAGTGAGCTAGAAAACCGAGTGTGTTGTGAAGTTTTCGGTGAACTAGAAAACCGAGTGTGAGGAGTGAACGTTGTTCGGTGAGCGTTAAAAACCGACATAGTGTGGTTGTAAACGTTATTCGGGTGAGCGTAGAAAACCCGGTTGTGATAGTGGATTTCTCCCCGGGAGTGGGGAGCGGAGACGTAGGACGGAAGGTCCGAACTCCGTGATCATATTGCTTGTTTGAGTTTGTCTTTGGCGTATTTGCTTTTGCATTTATCTTATATCGCCATTGTCCATAGCTCATTATTTATATGATCCACTATCTAGTTCATATGGTTTACCCCTTGTGTTAGTTTACATATCCTTTCATATATCATATCGTATATCTCTTTGGTAGGATATATCACCTTGTGTTAGTTTTATATCCTTGCACATACATTACCTATATCTCTTTGTTAGGATATATTTTGTTGTTCATATTGTTTATCCTAGCTTACATATCTTGTTGTATTTCATACTTGCTAGGATAACTTGTGAATTAGTTTTAATTAGCATAAAATCGGATTAGATTAGCATAAGACCCTAATCACCCCTCCTCTAGGGTCTAACAACACTGTCTGGGCGTGCGAGACAGCAAACACTGTATGGGCGTCCCGGAAAGCAAACACTGTTTGGGCGTCCCAGACAGCAAACACTGTCTGCGCGTCCCGGACAGCAAACACTGTCTGGATGTGCGAGACAGCCAACACTTGTTTCTTGTGTTCTTTTGATCTTTGGATGATCTCCTCTTAAGTTGTATTTGGATATCTTTCAGCTTTTTTTGACGCCTACAGCAGGTGGTTCCCTCCCCCCTAGCGGTAAAAGCCCCCGGAAATGGTCGGCCTCTGCACTCGGGCGAGAATACAGAGCTTCAGCTCAGATGAAGGAAGTTGCCCATAAAACAAAACTAAGATGTAGATGAAAGTAATATGTAGGGGAGAGAAGAAAAAACAAGAGAAACTTGTTGTATATTTTTCTTATTATTTTGAGCTCAACATACGGAGATATATATAGGTATATATATATATATTTTAATTACAAAATTTATTAGTATTCATTAAGGCAAAATTGCCTTTTCTCCAACAAAATATCCAACAAAATCTCACTACCTTAAACAATAAAAAGCTAATTGAATGATTGTACGAGTTAAGCAAACAATTGCATTTTTCTTTCTTCTTTCTGTAAAGTTAACAGTGCATAATTATCATTTATAAAAGAAACTGAAGATGTGAATTTGGGTGCACAGTATTCCATCTTGCATAAAAGAGCTTTCTGTCAAAGAGCTCAACCCCAAACAAATTTCTAAGTCTCCAAACCTTTTACCAGTTTCCAAATATACCTAGCAGTATCTCTGCCCCTTGTTAAAAGTCTGTTTGTGAGTTCTGAGAGTGTTTCTTGTGACATTTGTGGAGACGAAACAAGGGATAGCTATCACAGTGAAGGAGGATCTCGTACAACGCATTTCAATACAGCATTGAGGCAAGATTTTCTCTCATCCAAACCTTCCTTGTAACTTAGATAATATTTCAGGAGTTGACCCATGTGTCATGAGACGACCCATATGTGTACATGAGACGACTCATCGATAGTTTCCTGGTTTGTTTAGGTTTCTGTTTGCACAAATTCCTGTGGGGTTTAGGCTTGGTTATTTACCACTTTACCATCCACGTTGTTACATCTATAAAAGGTGTTGTTTAGGGTTTCTAATCAATCAGATATAATTAGAGAGAGATTCTAATCAAGAGAGATTAGATTGCATTTGAGAATTGAGAGAGATTGTTCTTTAATTCTAGTGAGATTGTGAGAGATTGTAAACTATTTAATTCTCATAATCTAGAGAAGGAATTTTCCTTCACCATCACTGAATTATCCTTGTGTTCTTGTTATTTTCTTCTCAACCACCTTTGATAATTCCGTGATCAAAGGTGCTCGCACGACGACTCGTATCAACGGACAGACTGCTAGACAAAGCATCCAAACCCGACTCAATGGTCTGTACAAATGGAATATCTATGCACTACCCCCACGTAGTACTGAACTAAGCTCATCAACGATATCCATCCTATGTAAAAACTATACAAATTTGTCATATAGATGTACTATCTCATACAGTACTGATCTGAGCTTGTTAATGATAACCGACATGTGTATAGACTACTCCAACTCAAGTGTAATCACTCAACACTTGTCAAATCCCCTTTTGGGATACTCTTGTGTGTGCCATGATACTATTCATGTATATTCATGTTTATAATTGTTCTATCATGTGACTCGAACCTCGCGATCGCACCTCAAAACAATGCAACAATATGTTCAGGAAAAGTCTTTGTAGTCGACTACTAACCTTAGTAGTCGACTACACTGAGTCCATCTAGACTCTACAATACATGAATCAATATTAGTAGTCGACTACATTGTACATTGGTCGACTACTCTGTAATTGGACAAATTCTGTAAACCTAAACTAGACATTAGTAGTCGACTACTACTCTTAGTAGTCGACTACTAAGCAGAAACATGCACACATCCATGTACATGTAACACTTAGCAATCATCATGTGTTTATCGTGTTTTAATACAATACAAATCTAGTAGATACAAATCAAAAGAATCATCTCCATGATTATTTAAACCTTTAATTCAACTAATTAGGTTTAATCTCCTCATTAAACATGAATTTGACATAAACCCTAGTTATCGATTAGATCAACATGAACATGATTTGCATATTAAGTTTGAAACTTATATAATTTCGTTTAATCATATTTACAGAACCATAATTATCCCACACCTAGGGTTTAATCAAACTTAATTATCATGTAAGCTCTTTGTATCACAAGATTAGGGTTTTGAGCATGATTAACACATAGAAAACAAGATACAAACGAAGATTTACACCACCTAATGATCATGATCACGTTACTATTATAAACATCAAGTAAAACATGTAGATCTAACATCAGGTTAAGATTTTATATCAAAAATCCTTTTTTATCACGTTAAACAGTTAGATCTAAGCATCAAAAATCAATATTTACTTAATAAACCCAAGATCTACACTATGGGTAAGATTTGGATGTATGAGATCTTGCCTCAATCACGTTGTTGATCTCCTGAACGTGTGTGCAAACTCCTTTCCTCAGCTACAGCCCTTGATCTCTCCCTCTACTCGATGTCACGTCTCAAATGCCTCGGGGAACACAAAGAATCGGATCTAGGGTTTAGAGGGAGGAGGTGGCTATAAACTCTGATGAAACCTCTCAAGAATTAGGGTTTTTACGTGTTTAAAAAACTAAAGATATTAATTAGGTTCGAAAACAATACAAATCTGACTCGAAAATTAAAAACTGACATGTCCAGGAATTCCTGATAGTCGACTACTCCTTCTTAGTAGTCGACTACACTGTTATATATAAGATTCTATCAATTGTCTACGGGCTCTTAGTAGTCGACTACACTGATCATTAGTCGACTACTAAGAGTTTGTGCAAGCTGATACAATGTCATACTCAAAATTTTATTCGTCGAATTGATCTCAAATCAATTCCTAATGTACTCAAACATCAAAATATGCTATTTATCACATTATAGCAGATTAAATATCATTTATCACAAAATATTCAAATTTGTGGGGTTTTATATTTATAGTCAACGCTGTCCTTCTAAGTAAAACCTTTGGCAACAAGTCTGGCCTTGTATCATTCGATATTGCCATTTGAGTCGTGTTTGGTCTTAAAGGCCCATTTACACCCAACTCTTTTACAACCTTTAGGCAATTCTACAAGATCCCAAACTTCATTATGCTCCATTGATTTCAACTCATCTTTCATGGCGTCAAACCATTTATTAGAATCATGACTTTTCATGGCCTGTGAAAATGAAACTGGATCTTTATCCATTCCAAGGTTAAATTTTGACTCTTGTAGACAAACCACATAATCGTCAGAAATAGCAGATTTTCTCGGTCTTTGAGACCTTCTTAAAGCTACTTCTTCATGTGGTATATCTATCGTAGGTTCATCGGTAATAACATCTTCATGGAGTGTTTGATCATTTATTTGTTGTTTTTGAAAGTCGTTAAACTATTCAACAACTGTAGGAACAACAACTTAAGAAGAAGTTACAGGTAAAGGAACGTTCATTCTAACATCTTGGATTTCCATTTTACGTGGTTCCATACTTCCACTAACGTCACCATTTTCAATGAACCTAACATTTCCAGTTTTAACAAATCTCGTACTATGGCTAGGACAATAAAATCTATACCTTTTAGATTTTTCTAGATAACTAATGAAGAAACCATTGGTTGTTCTTGAGTCCAGTTTCTTTTCATGTGGATTATAAATTTGTATTTTTGCAGGACAACCCCAAACATGAAGGTGTCTCAAACTGGGTTTCCTTCCTATCCACAGTTCAAAAAAAGTCTTTGGAACTGCCTTACTAGGAATCCTATTTAACAAATACATTATAGTTTTTAAAGCATACATCTACAATGACAAGGGTAAAGAGGAATAACTCAACATACTCCTAAGCATGCCCGTTAGTGTACGATTACGCCTTTCTGCAATACCTTTTTATTACGGTGTACCTGGCATCGTGTACTGAGCGCATATGTCACATTTTTTAAGAAATTTAGCAAATGGACCATGGCATTGTTCTGTTTCGTTATATTTTCCATAAAATTCACCACCTCTATCAGATCTAATAATTTTTACCTTTTTGTTTAATTGTCTTTCAACCTCATTAATAAACACCTCTAGGGCATCTACTGATTGAGATTTTTCATGCAACAAATAAACATATCCATAACGTGAAAAATCGTTAATAAAGGTGATAAAATATTTTTCTTATTAAAGGATGGAACATCTAAAGGTCCGCATATATCAGTGTGTATAATTTTAAGGAGCTGTGTGCTTCTTGTGGCTGCTTTCTTAATTGTAGGTTTGTATGTTTTCCTTTAATATAATCCACACAAATACCAAGATCGGTAAAATCCAAATTAGGAAGGATTTCATTCTTTACCAATCTTTGTAAGATCGGTAAAATCCAAATTAGGAAGGATTTCATTCTTTACCAATCTTTGTATTCTTTCTTTGGAAATGTGTCCCAAACGTTTATGCCACTATTCTTTCTTTGGAAATGTGTCCCAAACGTTTATGCCACAAATAAGCTGAACTTTCATCCACTAAACTTTGTTTAGTTCCAACATTATGAGGCAAGGTTTGTTTCAGCATAAAGATTATCAAGCTTTAATTTGTATAAGTCATCAGAGAGAACACCAGAACCAATAAAAAAATTATGCTTAAACAAACTAAAACATCCATTCTCAAATTTAAAAGAGTATCCATCGGTATCAAGTTTAGACAAAGAAACTAAGTTACGAGAAACAGTAGGAGCATAGATGGTTTAAAAAAGATCTAAATGATGTCCAGTGTCTGAAATCAAGTGATAGGTTCCAACGGTCTCAACTGGAGCTTTGACTCGATTTCCCATGAAGATAAAATTTTCATTTGGATTTATGGTTTGGACCATAAAGATTCCCTGCAACGTATTTGAAACATGAGTGGTACAACCAGAATCAATCCACCAAGTATTATAAGGAACTTCTGTCACATTTGATTCGAAACATACAAAATCAAGGGTTTTACCTTTCTTTTCGAACCATGCCTTACGTTTCATGCAATCTTTCTGATAGTTTCCAGGTTTTTTGCAGAAATGACACTTATCGTTCTTTCGTTCCTTCTTGTGGATTTGGACAGACGACGCATTAACTTTCAGTGGTCCTTTCTTGCCCTTTCCATTATACTTTCCTGGTTTCTTCCAGCTCCCTGACAACCCATGAGATTAATTGAGTGAATTCCTTGTTTCTTAAGCCTTGCTTCCTCTTGAATGAGCATATTTTGCAATTCAGTCACATTCCACTTATCTTTTATAGTATTATAGTTTATTTGGAATGGACCATACTCAGAAGGCAAAGAGTTAATGATAAACCACACAAGGAAACTTTCACTCACTTCCATTCCCATAGATCTTAATCTTGCTGCTGTGTTTGCCATTTCAGTTACATGCTCATGCATGGTATAAGAACCATTAAACTTCATGGTGGTCAACGTACTCATTAATGTCCCTGCAATTGACTTATCAGCAGAGTCAGATTGCAAGAGATCTTCCACAAACTTCATAAATTCCTTTGCATTATCAGTTTTAGGAATTGTGGATTTAATGTTGTTTGCTATCGTCTTCCGCATGAACATTAAGCTAAGTTTATTTGATTTTTCCCAAGCCTTATGGAAAAAATCTCTCTTCAGCACTGCTAGAATCAGTAATAACAGCGACCTTATCATACAGGAGTGCTGAATCAAGATCCAGAACACCTAGGTGAAACTGAACTTGTTCACACCATTCATGAATCATACAGGAGTGCTGAATCAAGATCCAGAACACCTAGGTGAAACTGAACTTGTTCACACCATTCATGAAAATTAAGCCCATTGAACTTTACAATAGAGAACACCTAGGTGAAACTGAACTTGTTCACACCATTCATGAAAATTAAGCCCATTGAACTTTACAATAGATGAAGCTTACGAATGAAGAGAAACATGTGCTGCAAATATATAGAATACTGACATATTAATGCTTTGAGTCATAAACTTCAACTTAAACACATAATACATATTTATATAACATTCAAACTAAACAACAAACGTACATCAAAGTTCTCTTTGGGTGATCCTTCAATGTACAACAATAAACATAATTGATGTTTTGTTTTATTTCATATAATTAGCATTTATATACATTCCAATTAGACATGCTTGCTATCTTTGGATATTCTAGACATATCTAATCAGATATATTAATTAACCACAGTCATGTTTATAGACTATAAAATTTACCAATAAACCTTTGGACGATTCTTAAATATTTTATAATCAACAAACTTCAACTTACTCATGACAATATATACGATCATGCCATTTCATTAGTAGCATTACTTAATCATGAGTAATTAAAAATTATATTATTACAATTTGATAAGTATGGAACTTCAAGGTATGACCACTTTGGTGACTAACAAACCATCCATGAGTGAATTGAATTTTAAATTGTATAGTAGAATCTTGACAACAATGTTATAATAAGCCTGCAAACAACAATTCATGGAAATTAACAATTCATACATAATTAGTGCACCGACATAAACATGCATAAACAGAAATAGCTGGCAGGGTAAAAATTAAAACGAACATAAAAACATCATTAGAAATCAAAGAGCCGGAGCCCAATCAAAGACTTTAACGGTATAGTGTTGCCCTAGGTGTTTGAACCCCTGACCTCCTGGCCAAACTCTCAAACCTTACCACTAGGCTATGTTTCCTAAAGTATTTACTTCAATCAAAAAATGTATACATAATGAATGAACAGGGAGTTCCGAATTTTATAGTGACCTTTTACATTCATATGCACATTAATCATAATCATCAACTGCAGTAATTGTTTATGTAATCAATTGAATACGAAATTATCAAAATAAAATAGTATTTAATAATCAGCGTAAATATTTAAATAACAGTAATGGAACAATAGAAAACGAGAAATAAAAAAATCATGATGGAAAATCATAAGTTCTTTAACCAACTGTGCTCTGATACCACATATAAACCTAATTCTTAATTTAAGCAAATTAAACTAAACTTTAATTTTGATTTGATCATCATAATATCAAGATCTTAGAACAATATGATTTTCACAATTTAATTAAGAGAGCATACCTTGATCCATGATTGCAGGAAGAATAACGTTGAAGAGTTGAGTTTTCTCTCTCTTAGCCCTTTTGATTTTTTTGAATTTTCTTGATGGAGAGAAAATTTTTCACGTTATGGGTAGAGAGAGGATCAAGCCTTAAATAGAACAATTATCACACGTTCCATCAATGTGTGCATTTATTTGACAATCTTATCTCTTAGTAAACCGACTAATAGGAATTTAGCACTATTATCCTTTAACTAAACAATTATTAAACCATAACAATCCTTTAACTAAATATGGTTTAAAAACTGTTACCACTAAAACGTAATTTTAGAAAACGTGTCTACTAAAAGTTAGTTTAAAACATGATTAAAAATTAAAATTAAAGTGAGCCATTAAAATAGTTAATACGTGGGCCACATAATCTAATATCTCTCTTCTAAAAAAAGAAGGTGTGCAAATTAAATTAAATGTTTAGTATGTAATTAATTAGTTTTGTCTTTGTTGGATTGCAAATCAAAGGATGATATTGATGTATGAAAACTGTTGGGGGGTAAAAGTAACCCCATCAGTTAAAACTGTTGGGGCTTTATTTTTTTATTATAATTAAAAATGATAATTTAGTTTTCCCAATGGGTATAATAATTCTGACAAAATATCATAGCGATTTCAACCATTAGATAACCGTTGGGATAATAATTACCCATTCGACTACGATCCCAACGTGGGGTTTTAAAGGCACTAAAGGTTTTAACGGTTAGGATCACACTTTGTCCCAACATTTATCGTCTGGGGCTGACCATCTCTGTACTAGTGTCAACACAATAGACACTGTATGAAATGTAATAACCATTTATTAATATACTCTTTGTGAAATCTATGCAATTGAGCATCATATAATCTTCTCTGCTGCTTTATAGTATTCTTCCAAACAAATCACACACTCATAATTTTTACATTTGTCGACCATAGAAGTAGACTCGTTTGAATATTGTGATGGCTCAATAGTGAGAACCACATAATTATCAGCGATAACGATGGCATGATCTTGATGGGGGATGTTGGCATTACTTGAAATGAAGTACGAGTATGCAGAGGATAAAGAAGAAGAAGATAGGAACAATCTCGATAAACACTTTGTTTTTGTAGTAGTAGTTGTTGTGTGATATGTTTGCATACCATTCACATGAATTTGGTGGGTCATTGAAGGAGAGGAGACACATCTTGAACTTGAAGAAGATCGAAGAGAGGATTGAGGAAATAAAAGAATACTATAGTCTTAAGAGTTGAGAACTTTATATATAGAGTAAGGTTCCTATAAATTTGGAAATACGATTAGTATTCAGAATAGAAAATATCTCTCCTCTTTGACATGGAGGAGTTATACTTCGACCTCGACTAGGAAGTAGAGAATGATAGTGTTTGTGATTTTGTTTCCCATCGGAGATGTAAAGTTTAAGAAACTTAATGCTTTATACTTTGAGCTTGTATGGGATGGGACTTTGGAGTAGAGTTTATCCAGAGCCGTCGTTGAGGCGGTGACCCGCAACCACCCCCAGCTGGCGGCTGAAACCTAAAAATTCTCATTTTTGCCCCTTTGGAATCCCTAGCGATTGCGGTTCTTCTTCGATTTCGTGCTGGTAGCTGATAAATCTCTTGTTTTATTTGTGCAATTTCAAATTTCTTGCAGTTTTATCTTTCTGTTTATTTCCTTGATTTGATTTAAATAATTATTGTCTTGTTTTTGGACAAATTTAGGGGTACTCATTGTTTTCTTAATGTTATTTCTAGCTAAACTAGAAAAAGCTGACATATTTTTTCCGTTCATTTTTTTAGCAAAAATTCGGTTTTTTTATTATTTGCGGTTGGGTGTTTCCTTGAAATTGTGATTATCGCGTGTGGGTTTTTTTTGGGTACAAATTGGTGATCAAATTGGGTTATTTCCTATTTGTGTAGGAGCTTAATTGAGATGGTCAGTGGGAGACCAGTGACTGGGAATTTGGATTTTGGTTTAGTAACCTCGTGGTTAGCAAGGGGAACATGGAAGGAATGGCCTTGAATGGATGGAAGGATCTTCCAATGGAACTCTTATTGAGGATTGTTTCGCTCATTGATGGTCGGACTGTTATCGTTGCATCGGGGGTCTGCACTGGGTGGAGAGATGCAATTTCTGCGGGATTGGCACGCCTCTGCCTGTCATGGTAATGGTTCATCTTTCTCAATATTTTCCTGTTCCTGCTAAATGGAGGTTTTGAGTACTTACTGTGAATTAATAATAACAAATGGAATTTTTTTGCACTTTATGTGAATCGATTATGCCATCTGACGGTCCGAGCCTCCTCCTCCCTTTCCTCCGCCACCTTCCCTCTTCACCGTCCATCGCCTCCCCGTCCTTCTCACAAATTTAGAACAGGGCCCCCAAATTGTCAGCCACGCCTCTGAGTTTATCGTTCTTATTTTTATGATACAAGGCCTCCAATTCTCCTCTGTTCCTATGTACATCAGAGCCTCCAATATCTCTCCTCTTTAACAACTTTTTTAACTAAGACCTCTAATTCTCATGAGTTATTTTCACCCATATAGATGGTTTTCATTCAAATGCTTTACCCAAATATGCATGCATGGTTAACTCTCTACTATAGGAGATAAATTAAAACAATAATCCTTAATGAGAGAGAGAGAGTATGTTAAGAACTCCAGAGAGACTATGATGGGAGAAAGAAAGAGATCGAGGAAGAAAAATGAGCGAGAGAGAGATGATGAGTGCAATTATTTTAAGAGGGAAAAACTGACAAAAAAAGCTTTTTTCCTGTTTGACAAAGGAACTTCCCCCACGTTCCAATGCACGACCTCGAGTATTTGAGGAAATTAATTTCATGTGGGTGTTCCCTAAAAAATTTAAACCCAAGGCATGAAGTACTACTCATAGGTATAAGTAGATCCTTGTACAGCAAATTAAGTAGGATCGTTTGATCCCACTTTGCTTAAAAAAAATACTAAGAAATTAAAATTATCCTAGCAATATGTGGCCCCGCTATAAATCCCAGTGACCCGCATCTCTCCTCCTCGCCAACCCAGACCGAATCCTAAAAAAACACCTAAATAAATCCGACCAACCTAATAATCTGATCAACTAATAAGTTAATAAATACACTAAAATTCAAACTAGACCTAACCTTATTTAAGTAGCTAATGAAAAATTGCAACAATTGAGAGATTAAAGATGTGAACTTTTCTTGAATGAACTTTAATTATTTTGTAACAAGCATTAGATTCTTATTCTAAATATGAAAGATACATATGTTAAAGGAAGATGGCACAAAAGCTTCAAAAGTCACCAATCTACACCGTTATCAAGTCGGCTTATTTTATACGATGATAGATATGCAAATTCAGGGGCTTAACGATCTTTTTTATGAGATAAGCAGTGAGTTGCTTTTTTTGCGTTGTTTGCTTGAGTCACAATGATTCATTCAAAATTTTTTATGTGGAGGGCTTGCTTAAAATGGTCGAATTCTATCCATGTGAATTTTCCAGCATTGAGATCTTGAAACTTAAGAATTAACAAGGGGATTACAATGTTGATATGCGTAAAGATGCATGATTTGACAATTTGAAGGGGATATTTGATCTTTGAAAAAAGATGGTGAAGACTAAAAAATATAAAATTTATTCCTTGATGTATTTGCTTTTAAGGATGTCATTGATCTTGCATGTGACTAAGACAATTATGAATAGAACTTTTCTTAGTGAAGTTGATAAAAAAATAAGCTGTACAATATAATGAGTGATGATTGACTCAATGATTTCTCAGTGACATACATTGAGAAAGGTGTATTTGATAATGTTATTAATGACATGATTATATATTTTTTAAAATATGAGAAGCCGTTGAGGACAATTGTAAATATTTTAATTATTAGTTATGACACCACTATTTAAAAATCATAAGGCAACAACTGTTCATAGGCAGCTAACTAACTTGGCTGGACCCTTTTGGGTGACAAAAAATATTTTTTAATAGAGAAGAAGAATTTGGGGAGAACACAACATTCAAATGTGCCAAGTATGATTACTACTATTAGCATGCACGAAACAGTCTATGAAAATTTGACCAAAATAGACTCTTTTTTGTTTGGTAATCAATGTGTTTTTTTGTTGTGTTTTTGTAAAAAATACCATGCCATTGTGTTTCTTTTTCAAATGTGTTTTGAAAACACCATTTTGGTCAAATTAGTTTGACCATTTATATAGCGACAGTGGGTGGGCGGCGGCGACGACGGTCGGTGGCGCGGCAACCGACGGACGGACGACAGGTCGAACGACGACTGTCGCGGCTATCCAGTGGGTAGCGGCGGAGTGACGCGTGGCCGGGCCGAGGCGGCGGCGGATGGCCGACGGATGGCGATGGTCTGTCGACGGGCGACGGCGGCGGCGGCTGTTGGCACAGGCCGGCCGGCGGCGGGACAACTGGTGGCCATGGCCGTGAGCGGGGTGGCGGCGGCGTGCCGACTAGTGGCCGCGGGTGGCGACGAATGGCGGTGGTGGCGGTGGGTGAGGGTGGCTAGCGGTGCGGCTGATGGGCGGGCGGTGGCGTGGTGGTAGACGGTGGGCGGCGGACCGGTCGGCGCCGCCAACGGGCGGGCGCGGTCGCGGGCGCGTCCGGCGGTGGCCCGCGGTGGCGCAGTGGCCGACCCAGCGGGCGGCGCGGCTAGCGCGGCTACCGAATGACTTACGATGAAAAAACGGAATCTTAAAACACCATTTTGGTGTTTTGAGGAAAGTGTTTAATTTTTAGATTTTGTAAAGGAACAAGTCAAAAAAATGATCCGGTTGCCAAACATGTTTCTTTGTTTTGTTGGAAAAAAAAACAGAAACGACAAAAACACCATGGTTGTCAAACGCTTCTGACACAACTTCTTTAAACCCTAAATTAGCAGAAGCCCACTGTGGTCTTAAGGCCCATTTAGAGAGGCGCCAAAGAAAATGGATTTTTTTTTATCTTAGAGGGGCTAATTTTATAACAGTTAAAAAGTTTGAGGGACTAGTTTCAAAATATGATGATTTTGGGAACTAATTTTAGAATATGAAAAATGTGGTGGGACGGATATTGCAAAAAATAAAAATAAAAAAATAAAAAAAACGAAAGCATAATTTTACCTCTCTTGCACCACAGTAAAAACGCCCCCTTCCCTTTCCTTCCGAGAGAGAAAATGCAAGCTCTAATTTCGAGCTAAAATTCACTTTCCCGCCAAAAAGCTCTTCCCTCTATAAAATCAACTTTCCCAAATCCCCTCTCCTGACACGAATTACTCCTCTATCTGAAAAAAAATGAAGAGCCAAAAATCGATCCTCTACTTCCTCCAAAAACCCTGGCCGGGAAAGTCCAGCTCCGGCGGCCTTCACTGCCAGGAGCCGCCTCGTCCGGATCCGAATCCAGCCTCCGATCCCGATCCCGATCCCGATCCCGATATCAGAGGAACCGATACGCCCCCGGAAAAGCGCCAGTGCTCGTTCTTTCGGGCCAATTCTCCGGCGAACGGCGGCAAAAAACGCTCCGACAGTAAGTTCTCCAGCATCATGCACAAGTTCAAGAGGGATGCTGGACCAGGAAGCGTCGATATGAGGTATCGATGATTCCGATGGATCTAGGGTTTTTTTATTCACTATTTTTGATACTATCGATATCGATCTCACTGTCAACTTTTCCTCAATCTAGCTCAGGGGCACTATTAACTCTATTTGTTATTTAAAAGAATCAGGAGGTTCCAGTATAATCATAAGGCTGTCTTATTTTCTATTTTTATTTTTATTGTGCATTTCCTCTTTGTTTTTAAGTTATTTTAACTTGAGTAATTTTGTCTTTTAAGTTATTTTATAACAATTATGTATAGGATCGAGCTAGGTTACTATCAATACTATCTGATATGCGGATACTATAGAGCCAAATTGAAGTTTTTGGATTTTTTAAATTCAAAATATTTAATGCTGAATGTGGTATACTAAAATTTAACTATTTAGGGGCTGTTTGGTTGTTGTTGGTAAAGTTGTGTATTTATAACACAACTTGGAAAGTTGTTGTCCACCTCATCAATTTTACTTTAATATTTTTCTTTGTTTGTTTTTGATTCCATTAGAATCATAAATTGCTTGTTTGGTTTGCAAATGTAACTTTAATTGTTTGTTTGGAAAGTGTAAAAAATGGTCCATACTCAAATGATCATATTGGTTGGAATTATTTTTTATTATTTTTTCCTGACTTCAATGTCAGCTTTTTCCTAAAATCATGTCTTTTTTTTATGAAATCACTTTACAAGCCACATCAGCATATGAAACCACTTTACACTATTTACACAACTACAAACAAACAATTGAAAGTGATGAAAGCTGACATTGGGGTCCACTTTTTTACACTTTCCATCCTTTTACATGATAAAAACATACAACCAAACAATCCCTTAAAAATGAAATCTTAGATGATTTTAATGCGTTTCAGCCATGTGTTTTATGTTGCCAAAACCGACAATTCAGAATTTTCTTAGAATTGAGTAACTTTTACTCCTTTATACATGATACAAAAACACATCAAAATTATTGAAAAATTTGTTCTAGTAGTCAATGTGTGTTTACATCACATTTAACTGTACATATTTTTAATTCAGATATTCAAAACTTAAATTTGGATACATAGTATTGTATCTTGGATACTGCTAATGTTAACATAGCTCAACTCATTTTATATATATCCGTACATTTTTGTTTTTATTTAATGGTTCATGTAATGTGACTTATTTTTCAAGGTTCTTTTATTAGCAAGCCCATATATTGCCTTTTTTTTTCCATTTATTTATATTTCGAATATTTTGTTGGTTTGTTTTATTGTGATTTTTTTGTCCTCCATTTTTCAATATTTTTTCAATAATGTTTTATCTTCCTTTTGCAATGATTTTCTGCTACTGGACAAAGATAGGACCTTGAATTATTCTTCACCGTGTAAGATAAACATAGTTTTTCACCATGCTATGACAGAAACTTTTTTTTTGTTAGGTTGTATTTTGTAATGTTTGCTGAGTAGCTTGTTGCTGAGAGTCTTAATCTGGATCTCCTCTTCTCCTTTTTTAAAGTTCTAGAAATATTTGATACATAAGTTTAGCAAGCATCTATGTTTTGTTGATAACTACATTCACAAATGCTCTGGGGGGCTTTTTTAGCACTAACTAGTCCGTAATGTTTTTTGGCAGGAAAAATAATGACCATGCATCCCTTAGTTCTCACCTTGATTTTGGTGAATTTGATGAAAATGAATCAAATGTGAGGAAAAATACACCTGGCAAGGATTACTCAAAAACTTCTATGTCCATGTCTAATGATGCCTATAGCAGTGATCCTCCCAGTTTTGAACTTTGCCCTGATATTATGGGACCAGAAACCCCAGCCATGCGCCCACTTGTTCCCCGTTTGAAACGCGTGCAAGAGGACTGCCGTAATGCAGAAACTGTGCGCGAGTCTTCCTCTTTTGGTTCCAGAAAAAAAGTCAAGTGTACTCAAGATTTGGCAACAGAAAAAACATCTAATGTTGAAAGATATGAGAATAGCAGTAAGTTTGAGTGGCTCAATCCTTCAACTATTCGAGACGCAAAAGGAAGACGACCTGATGACCTGCTTTACGACAAAAGAACTTTATACATACCCCCAGATGCATTGAAAAAAATGTCAGCGTGTCAAAAACAGTACTGGAGTGTGAAATGCAAATATATGGATATTGTCCTCTTTTTCAAAGTGGTAAGATCTAGAATCTTATACTGATTTTGTGTCCTACAGCCATGCAAACGTAAACCTTTTCATTATCATAAGATTAGATTTTTGGTCATAGTACACTATGTTTAAAATCATGGGGCAGGTGATGTACAAGGTTCAAATATTTAACTTGTTTTATCATAGTTAATTTAAAATTTTTTTTCTGAGAGTATTGTTTCATCATAGCAATTACAGATTATACCATTTCTCTTCTTCCTCCATTCTCTTATATTTAGAGTCCTGTCTTGTATATAGCAAGTTTGGAGCCAGAGCATAGCTTGGCACAACGTTTACATCATTTGTAGCCTTTTGGCACTCTTATGTCTTCGTTTTTTAGGGTCTTTGAAATCTTCTTTATTGGCACTTGTTCTGTATGGTGCCGGCCTGCTGGGATAGTTCTATAATATCCCGGTATTCATCAAATGCCCCAAAGGAATAATCCATGACCCCCTCCCTGTTGTATAAGATTGTGGCTATTTCTGCCATCTAATTAATAAAAGCTACACGTTGGCCTGGGACCTGTGCAAAGATCCTGTGGAGAAAAAAGCAAGTTTGGAGCCTCTATATTTCATCCTCCTGAATTGGCATGCAAAGTTACCAGCTGCAATCTACTTTGATTTTACACAGAATGTATGAAAAGATTAGGAGTCCATAAAAATGTAAAAAACTTTTATAGGTAAGCTTGTAATATTATATTTGCAGAGAAGCAAGTTGGGACTTTACATATTGTTATATAACATCTTCCAATATTGTTACCTAAATGTATGTTTTTAAACTCGAGCATTTTCAAGCACAAGCAGATGTATGCTTTCATTCTCTTCTTGGATACTTCCTAAATTACACTTGTTTTAGCCAAACTCTTTTTCCTCCTGAGCTTATGTCCTTTTTTCCTAATTAACTGAAGAACTTGCTTTCAATTATTTCATCTGTCATAAATCTTTCAGAAACAAGTTCCAGCATATTCTTTCGCATCTGCTACATGCAGAGTAATGGTCTCATTCAGGTTATGGACTTCTTGTAGCATATTGGTTTGGTCATAATTTCATGTTTCTGCTAATTAGGGGAAATTCTATGAACTGTACGAGGTAGATGCTGAGATTGGGCAGAAAGAGCTTGATTGGAAAATGACTATCAGTGGCGTTGGCAACTGCAGACAGGTAAAATTGCACAATTCTCAATAAGACTTTTTGACATAAATTATGTTCTTATTGCTTAAGCAAATTTTCTTTCTCGATTATTTGTCCTTTCTCCATAATTTTAGAATATTGTTTTGTTATTATCCTGGTTGTACTCATTTTTTTATTTCAATATGGGCTACTAGCATCCTATATTTTGCTCCTTTCTGATAACATTTTCTCAACCTGATTACTTTCTTCGATTTATATTTTTTCAAAGCAATTTGTTTGCTGTAGTACGTCTTCGAACGAATGAATCATGATTCGTTTATATCTATCATATATCTTGTTAATGATAGAGTTACCATAGAAAAGTTCTACAGGCTAGTTCTCCAATATGAAAATCTCTTTTCACATCCACATGACTGTTAAGGATTTATGACGCTATCAGTGAGACAAATGCTATCTCCATGTTATGTTAATATTGGCAAAAGAAGTATCAAAAGTCATTCTTTAGGTCACTCTCACTGCATATCCATCATAACCGCACAACTGCATCAGGTGATTATTTCTTGCTAATTAAGAATTTAATATTTCTCCCTTTAGGTGATTATTTCTATCCCTATCCTTTGTTGCTAGTTGTCCTCTTGCCATGATTGCCTCAGTTCGATAGTTGTAAGATAGAATTTACTTTTTCCTTCCTTTAGGTTAATGAGCGTTGCCATGTTACATAGTTCGAGGAAGAATATGATATGACTTGATGTTTGGAATTGCAGTCATCTCTCTGCTGCAGTTTAATTGTAGGAGACAAACTGAAACATTTTAAAACTAATGTTTCTTTTCTAAAAATATTTCGACCATTTTATGACAGTGTTATAGGTGGTGTATGCATCAGAGAAGTTGTACATCTTTTACATAATCTTTAGGCTGCAGTTTTTGTTACTAGTTGTTGATTGTAGTCTTCCATATAATTAATGCTTCACATGAGAAGAACATTCTAGCAATCTTTAACGCTGTCATCTTCAATAGTGATAACACTAAAGAATTCGAACATCGTTTATGTTTTCCTTATGGTGCTATGTTCTTATTTTTCATTTCACATACACGTGCATGCCCCTCTCTTCTATGTATATGTAAGTAAAAGGTCAATGCTTAATAAAAAGTTTCTTGATATGCATGAGATGAGGTCAACGTTGAAGACAAAATAATTTTGTGGGACTGCATGAGTTATTTATCTAATAGTATTTGCCATCTGACCAGGTTGGAATTTCTGAATCTGGAATTGCTGGTGCTGTTCAGAAGTTAATTGCTCGTGGGTAAGGACATTGGTTACTGCACTTACTTGATTGTCATAGATCAAGTAGTGATGGTTGGAGCCTTTAAGTGGTAGGAAACATAAGAACTGTACTTTTGAAGAGAATGACTATAATCTTCAAATCCTTCTTAGAGCATCATATCCTTTTCTGAGAATGTATATTGTGTTCTTTGTAAGCAGAGTTTTTTATATTCACGAAGAGTGCAGTTTTGTTTTTCGTAAGCATCATACTAATAAATTAGTAACTGCCGGATAATTGACTTGTGATAGTTTTACTTTACTGAAAATGCATTTGCTTCTGACAAAGGTATTCATTGTGGCAAGAATTCTCGTTTTACTTACAATGTGATGTGTCAGTTACACTGATTTTATATGTTTCACAAGGTATAAAGTTGGGCGAATGGAGCAACTTGAGACTTCAGATCAAGCTAAAGCGAGAGGAAAAAGTTCCGTAAGCATAACTTAAAACTGATGTTGCTTTTATTTTTTAAGAATTATTATTCATTTTTGTTTGGCCCTTTAATATCTCTGTGCATCATGATACTATTGAATATTGAGGGGTATAGCATCACTGGTCAGAGAAACTTAAGTGTTCAGGATAATTTTGTAGAAGTTAATAAATACAATCAGTATATTTTTGTTAGTGTTTCCTTTCAGTTTGAACTAGTTTGGCTCATGAAATGCGAGGAGAAAATGATATGTTCACCACTTGAATGGCTGTATTTATATGGTCAACAGATCAACAATAGTGTTTGAATGAACTATGACCATTGGATATGTTTTAATATATGCATAGTATAAACAGATGTACGCTCATATGCTAGAAAAAGATATATCTGATCCCTGAGTGAATTTGAATTTCTTTTACTTGTAAAAAAGTCAAAATTTTTAATAGAGGCGGATGACGCCCTACTATTCTATTAGTGCGGATAGACTCCCAATTGCTAATTTTTTTGATTCTTAAAGGAATAAAAAAAAGTTCACTCGGGGTGTCTATCCGCAATTGGGCAAATAGCAATATAGTATAATATAGTACATGGGGTTCTATCCGCATAATTACAACTATAGGGGTCTCTGCAATTGGGCAATACTAAGGGGGGGGTTCTATGCGCAATTGAGCATATATTTTATGATATGTTCATCATAATGAAGCGGTTCACATCATCAACATTGGCCAAGTATTTTATAGATGTGTATAACCTTAGATATATAATACCCTACAATATATATATATAATATATATATATATATATATATATATATATATTAATATATAATTATATAATAATAAATATATATATAGTATATAATATATATATATAATATATATAAATAATATATAGTATATATATATAATATATATATATATATATTATATTATTAAATATATATAATATATATATATATATAATATATATATATATATTATATATTGCTCTTGAGCTTTATCTTTGAAAATGGTTACATATATCGCTAATCCATCTTCTTGGAAGTATAAAATGCCTTACAAATGTCAATGAATGCCATCAATTCAGGTAATTGAAAGAAAATTGGTTCATGTGTCCACTCCATCCACCACAATTGACAATAACATTGGACCATATGCTGTTCATCTTCTTGCACTAAAAGAGGTACCACTTCCTTTTCCTATTTACTTCATCTTCTACTAATAATGAAAGTTTTATCTTGATAAAATATATTTCTTACTCTCAAGCATCATTATTTTTCTCTGTTAGTTGTCCACATTCTCCATTCAATACACTTCTGACCATAATTCATGCCTGTCTGATATAGATGCGCAAGCACTATGAAAGCTCAGAGTAGGGTAATTAATAGCTATTCCCAAAATGTTTGGTTGTTATATTCACATTCTTATTGTGGTGTCATATAGGTGTATTACTTTTGTCCATTATCATCACCATCATTGAAATCTATCCCATCAAAATGTGGTTGGCTATGGACTCATGTCCAAGGATTCTTTAAAAAAAAACAAGTCTCTTTGGTGACTGTCAACTTTATCTGATATAAATCCTCCATTAGTGGTTGCCGAATCCTATGGAAGGAATCATGAACGCAAAGGGGAGTTGGGGGCAAGTGCAATGTGTGTGTAGCAAAGTTCATATCTAGTTTTAGGCATGTTTCAAGATCTCAAAATCTGTACTTCTTTAAGACAAGCATTACAAACTAGATATGCTACAGCAGATGAAAGATGGCTAGAGCTTCTACTATGGTATATGGAGATGAGATGACATCTTTGTATGTGATGCTAGCAATCAGTTGTTTCAACCTAATTGCCATTAGCTGGTTTCTTCAATGAAAGATGTTGACTATTGTAACCTATCAGATTCAAATCTGCTATGATCCTGAACTGGCTGAGGGAATTCCTTTTGGAACATGTTATGCTAATTGTACTTCGGAGTAGTCCATAAATTTCCTTTTCCTTATTCTTTCTTACCTTTTTAACTATTCATCAGTCTATAAATTTCTTATCTTTTCCTTTCTGTTTTTTTAAATAACATTGCACGTCTATTATAAAGGATATAAGATATCATAACTGTGTATTATTCTGTGTTTGTATGCTTTTGATGATTCTTGCCCCATATATTTTTGCAGGAACTTTTACTTGATGAAGTTTCTGTTTTGCTGGTTATAGTTTAATTTATCAGTTTTCTGTTTCAACATTTAGGGGGTGAAGAATGGTTCCCCCATTTATGGGTTTGCTTTCCTCGATTATGCTGCTTTAAAGTTTTGGGTGGGTTCTATTTCTGATGATGGTTCGTTTGCTGGTTTGGGGGCTTTGCTGATGCAAGTAAGCTCTATCCTCCATCTCTGGTTTCAGTATTGTAGCCAACATAATTTATTCATCTCACTGATGTAGGTTTCACCAAGGGAAATTGTTTATGAAAGCTCAGGTTAGCATTGTGCATGTGTTTTATTTTGTATTATTACACTATCTGTTATACTGAAGATTATAATTTATTATTTTCATCATTACAGGGCTCTCCAAAGAAGCTCATAAGGCTCTCATAAAATATGCTTCAGCCGGTGACTGTTCGAACTTGTTAAATGAAAAGAAAGTATTTCAATGATTTTCTGTTAAATTACTATAGTAGTGTAAAATTTTGCGAATGTTCTGCCAATTGACGGGTCCTATACTAGGATAAAATAAATAAGATAGATTCCATCAAGTTTGAATGCTAGTATAATTAGAAGATCATCAAAGTATAATGCCAATCTAACAACAGTCCAGACCCTTGACTAATAACTTCATTTTCTGATTATGTTCCATCTCATGTGGATGACATGTTGATGTAGGATGACTTTCTCTTGGAAAATCCAGAAAAGAATAAGAATTTTGATTTTAGTAGAAATTCTTTTTTAGCTAGGCAAATAATTAGTTCCATAGTTTAATTAATTTACGAGCCCTTTTTAGAATCTAATTACTGGGTAAGTTTTTGCTTTAGTATGCTTAAAATTTCTTATTAAAATTAGTTTCTTAGTGGTCAAGATTTTGTAAGCCTACAAAAAGGCTAGTTTTTCTTAAATAAATATATGAAAGTTTTATGAAACAGTATGATTTCTATGGAATGTGAAACTGCTAGTTTGGATTAAAGACGCTACTTTTCAAAGCGTGAGATCTTAAGTGCAGGGAGATCATTGATCTACACGTGAGGCTCAAATCTTAATTTCTTCTTAATTTTTTTATTTCTTCCATTTCTTTGTTGTCTCCCATCCAAGGTTTTAAAAATCGGTTATCAGAAATAATCAGACAGTCAAAATTCATATCGGATCCCGGTTATTAGGGATATATCGGGGATAAGTAGTGAAAATCGGAGTGTCATATTGGGTATATAATATAATGTCCTAAAATATAATCTAAAATTCTAAGCATATTTAATGAAGTATAAACATACTAAATGTAAACAACTCATGTTTAGATCACTAACTAATTGTTGAAACTTGCTTCTTGATTGCGTAATGGAACCATCCGAGTGCATAACCTTCAAAAAGAGAAAATAATATAAGTAAAAATAGAATATCATACAAAGAAATACCAAGATAACATAAAAAATGAAGAATTATCAACATAATTGTTATGTAATCACAGATTCACAAGATTGAAGATTCAAACTAACTCAGGAATTAATAGTCAAGTCAACATCCATAATCAAACATAAGCAAATAACAACCAAGTTCTAAAGCTAGAAATAGTTCATAATTGTTAAACATCAAAAGAATGCAAATATAAGTAAATCAATCTTTATCGGAATCAAAAGATGGAATATCTGCCATTCCCTCTGTAGGGCCGCAAGAGGGGTAGTAAACAATTACACCAACACCCACAAGATCAACACAAGACAACCAATCTTCAAAACCCAAGTTACATCCGATAACTTTCACCAAGCATTACGAAATAGGCAGAGAAATAAAAGCATGCAAAGAACACACGATTTATACGTGGAAAACCTCTTCAATGTGAAGAGTAAAAACCACGGGACTGGAGGAGTCCACCACTTCTTCTCTTATTATGATAAGTTGAGGGTAAAAGAAACCCAAATCAGTCTCACAAAGTTTCACAACCCACCAACAGGAACATACATAAGAGATTCATCATTTGAGGAACAAAAGTGAGAAATATCACCAAAACACAGAGGTTCTGTCCAGCTGCAATACTCGACGATCCGGAGCTCACATCGACGATCCAACCGTTCAGATTGAAGCCCTATGTGTCCCCAACAAGCTGACCAAGTTTCAGCAAAATCGGACCATGATTGCACCTTGATTGGACGACTTGATGAAGACTGGTCCTGAGAATCCGAACAGGGGCAGCCTCTCTGATTTCCTCTCTTTTTCTTCTGTGTGGAAGATGATCAGTCCCCAACAGCCCTCTTCTGACTTATTGGGATACAACTGGCCCTCTCTCAAAGCTTCTCCAAGAAGCTACAAACCTTACTCATAGAATGAGCCACAACGAATAAGTAAGTTTTGGGCTTGCAAATTAATATTTGCCACAAAGTGGGCTGGACCCACAACAATCTCCCCCTCCAGCCCATCACGGGGGAAGACACGATCACCTTGATGATCACTTGAACATCATCCCCGCAAGCTTACTACAAAGCACAAGGGAACTACCTTTGTCAACATATCTGCACCATTCTTGTCAGTGTGAACTTTCTTCAGCTTCATTTGCTTCTCTTCGATCACATCTCGCAACCAATGATATCTAGCATCAATATGCTTGGTGCGAGCGTGATACATTGCATTCTTGCTCAAATCCATAGCACTCTGATTATCACAGAATACTACATATTCACCTTGCTTCAAACCCAACTCTCGAAGGAATCTCTTAAGCCACAACATCTCTTTGCTTGCTTCCACAGCTGCAATATACTCCGCCTCAGTGGTCGACAATGCTACACATTTTTGTAGCTTGGATTGCCAACAAATAGCTCCCCCTGAAAAAGTAAACACATAACCTGAGGTAGATTTTCTGTTATCAAGATCACCTGCCATGTCTGCATCAGAATATCCTTCAAGAATAGGCTTGCCACCCCCAAAACACAAATTCAATTTGGAAGTGCCTCGCAGGTATCTGAAGATCCACTTCACTGCTTCCCAGTGAACTTTACCCGGGTTAGATAAGTATCTGCTCACTAAACCAACAGCATATGCAATATCTGACCTCGTACACACCACAGCATACATCAAGGAACCAACAGCAGAAGAGTAAGGAATAGATGACATAAATTCTTTCTCCTTCTCTGTAGAAGAGTAAGGAATAGATGACATAAATTCTTTCTCCTTCTCTGTTGTAGGACAACCTCTCTTGCTTGGCTTGAAATGAGTTGCTAGTGGTGTACTAACTTCTCTGTTGTAGGACAACCTCTCTTGCTTGGCTTGAAATGAGTTGCTAGTGGTGTACTAACAGGCTTGGTATGCTTCATATTGAACCTTTCAAGCACCCGTTCAATATATTTTTCTTGTGATAACCATAAATTTCCAGCTTTCCTGTCACGAGCAATCTCCATGCCTAAGATTTCCTTTGTAGGGCCTAAGTCTTTCATGTCAAATGACTTGGATAAGTCTTTCTTCAAATTTTGAATCATCTCTGCATCTTGTCCAACTATCAGCATATCATCTACATATAAAAGAAGGATGATGAAATTACCACCTGGGAACTTTCTGAAATACACACAAGGATCGGCAGAAGTTCGTTTATAACCATTGCTTGTCATAAATGAATCAAATTTCCGATACCATTGCCTTGGTGCTTGTTTAAGCCCATAAAGACTCTTCTTCAACTTGCAAACAAGTTTCTCATTCCCTTTTTCTTCAAATCCTTCAGGTTGCTCCATGTAGATCTCTTCATGCAGGTCACCATGCATGAAAGCAGTTTGTACATCAAGCTGCTCCAACTCCAAATCAAGACTTGCAGCTAAACCCAAAACGGTTCTGATAGAGGTCATCTTGACAACGGGAGAGAAGATCTCATCAAAGTCGATGCTCTTTTTCTGGTTGCATCCCTTAACCACCAATCTCGCTTTTCGCTTCACTATCTTCTCACCATCTTTCTTGTTCTTGAACACCCATCTGTTTTTTAAGACTTTCTTGCCCTTGGGAGGCTTTGCTAGCTCATATGTTTCATTCTTTTGCAAGGAGTCCATCTCCTCCTTCATAGCATCGAGCCAAAGATTTTTCTCTTCAAGAGACAAGACTTCTTGATAGTTCTCCGGCTCCCCTTCATCAGTGACTAGAATAAACTCTGAACTTGGATATTTCGTTGAAGGTTTGCGCTCTCTGGTTGACCTTCGAACCGGTGTACCCTCCACTTGAGGGGTATGTTGCTCCCCCTGCTCATGAACCTCTTCACCATGAATTTCTTCCTCATGATGCTCTTCTTCATGAATTTCTTCATCATCAGATGGAGACTCAACAATATCATCATCTTCATCATTTTCTGGTACATTACCATCTGGTTGTACCTCACCCTCATCACCATCAGGTGTCACCTCAATAACATCATTTGTTGGCTGGTCAATAGAAGGAGCAGAAGAAAAAACATCAGTAGTATTAAAGGACAACTCTGGAGTAGAAGTGTACCTGGTACTCAGAAGATCTGCACCCATCACGTGCTCAAAAAATACTACATCTCTGCTTCTTACTACCTTCTTTTCTGGATCGTATAGTCTAAAACCATACTCTTCATCACCATACCCAACAAATACACACGGATTGGTCTTAGAATCAAGCTTTGATCTTTGCTCTTTCGGTACATGCATGTATGCCTTGCATCCAAAAACTCTCAGATGTGAATAAGTGGGATTACATCCCTTCCATGCTCTCTCTGGAATGTCAAGACCAAGAGGAATTGATGGAGCTCGATTGATCAAATACATAGCACATTGGACTGCTTCACCCCAGAATGTCTTTGGAAGATTAGACATTCTAAGTATACATCTCACTTTCTCCACAATGGTTCTATTCATTCTCTCCGCAACTCCATTGTGTTGTGGTGTGCCGGGCTCCGTCTTCTCATGTCTTATGCCATGTTGTGAACAATAACTCTTGAATTCATTCGAGGTATACTCACCTCCATTGTCAGTTCGAAGACGCTTCAACTTTCTTTCTGTCTCCTTTTCTACCATGGCATGAAATTTCTGGAAGATCTCGAACACTTGGCTTTTTGTCTTCAACATGTAGACCCAAGTCCTTCGAGTAGCATCATCAATGAAAGTGACAAAATATTTGTTGTCACCAAGAGACTGCATTTCAATGGGACCACAAACATCAGAGTGTACTAACTCCAATTTCTCTTGCTTGCTGGTAGACTTCCTAGAAAAGGAAGCCCTATGTTGCTTTCCTGCCAAACAATGATCACAAGGGTCAAGAGAAACAGTTTTATCAACAGGAATAAGAGATTTACCTGCTAATAATTTTATCCCCTTGTCACTCATGTGTCCCAATCTTCGATGCCACAGGTTAGGAGAATTCTTTTCTTCAACTGCATTCAGCTCACCAGAACAAACATTCAAGTATGTTTTATA